GCGTCTGGACATGACACGACAGATAAGCTAGGAATTGGTTCGCTTGGGATGGTTCCAGGACCTCCTCTTTCCATTGGGCTATGCTCGAGACTTCCTCCAATGAAATTCGTCTTCCGGTCTCGGTGTCCCACAACCACGTATCCCAAAAGAAAGACCTCCCTCTGAGGTGACAGAGATCCCTTCTGGCCTCCAGGAGCCTGAAGCTTTTGACTGTCCAGTGGCTGGGATCGGTACCCGGGGAAGCAGCTTTCTGAGACTCTCCTGAAGCTCTGGACTGAACTCAGACACTTCTCAAATGGATGAGGGATGGAGAGAAGGACGAGGATCAGGATTTTCATTCGCAGCCTCGCAAGCCGCTGGCTTCGCCGCTCTGGACATGTAGGAGCCCGAGTCGCCCTCGAGCTCGTCCTGGCCTCCGTAGTCGCCGTGCGCGGCTACTCGTCGTCGTCCACCTCGATCTTCGCATATGCGCCCGGCTGCGATTGGCTGCTGCAGGCTCCCGTGAGGGATCGCTGCAGCATGGCCGTGAGCTCCCTGAACTGGGCCCTCGTCGTCTTGGACTCGCTGGGCGATCTCCGCTCGGCTCGCCTCTTGGTTCCTCACCAGCATGTCGAGGTCGGGATGCCCTCCTGATGGGGCCAGCCCCCTGGATGCTGGAGGCCTCTTGCGAGCAGTTGCCGCTGGTGGAGGCGGCTTGACTGGCACCGACTCTGGGACGGACCTCAACCTCGTCTGGCGCGATGCTGGTCTCCCTGGAGCAAGCTCCAATGAGGATCCTGGACTGTGAGGAGGTCTCTCGATCGGGCCCTTCTCCGCCTGTTGGTAGTCGGTGTTCCGGACCTGGATCCTCATCTGCACATGCTTCTGCTCGTCCTCCCGGTACTCGCACTCCTGCTTGGCGGTCTCCCTCTTGATCTTGTTGGCCATCTTCTCTTCTAGGGTCAGCTTCACCGTCTCGAGCCTGGCGCCTCACTTGCGACACTTCACCCATCGCGCATGCTGATTCCCGTGCGCGGAGCGCGCACAGACTGGATGATCGCACTCCTCCTCCTTGATCTCCCGATCCGCTCCGGAGCGAAGCCTCGGGGCCAGGCTCGCCAGGAGCCTCGAGTCGGCGCAGAACTTTAGCATGATCAGCAGCGTCAGTGCCCAGCGCCTCCACCTGTGAGCTGGAGGGTTGAGGACATACCCTCCTTCGTTCAAGAGAGACTTCTCCCTCTCCGACAGCTCGATGTCTGAGTAGTCTATCTTCTGAAGCTCGCTGTCGTGCCAAGGGTCCCCCGTGACTTCCCAGTTCGCCTCTATCTCTGAGTCGTCCTCCTCGACCCTCTCCAAGTCCAGCGAATACAGGTGTAGCCCCGCTAGTCTGGTGTGCTTCTGGCTCGCTGCCAGCACCGAAGCGACCCTCCTGCAGTGAATCACCCCAGGACCCATCGCACTCTTCTTGCCTGAGGGTATCAGCATGGCGGAGCCGTGCTCCGAAGCTGCTGGAGTGAGAAAGACTGGCTAATGAGAGGGAATCGTACAATCTCCGACTCTGTTGACCCCTGGAAGTGCCCCCGCTGATGACACGATCGGAGGGAAAAAAGGAGGAGAGAGCATACTGACGCTCTACTCCCTGCCCGTCTGAGCCGCCCGGTCCTCTCTCCCTGCTGTCCTCGTCCCGGGTGTACGTCTTCTTCACATGGAACTCCGTGTAGCCGATCCAGTATATAGTCTGGCATGCGCGTGTTGTCCTGGGGGTCATTCCAGTCGTGCTCGAAGAAGTGTTCGATCCAGATGCCCTGGTCATCTCGGAACTTGCAGCAGGTCGTTCTCTTGATGGTGAGCTGGTCGATCGAGATCGGCAGTCCGCTCTCCTCGCGAGGATCCACGAGATCCCGCCTCGGACGCACGTGCAGGAGTCGTATTTTGTCTCCTGCCTTCTGCCAGAAGTCCGTGTCGTCGGCTCCTTTGGTCAGTAGGGTGGGTTCCGAGAAGGCCTTGATCGTGAAACTCGGAAATTTCTTCTGAATCTCCAGACTGAGAGCGAACTTCGACGGGGAAGGACCGATCAAACAAATCGAACGATGGCCGGACGGCAGCTTCAACATCTCAATGTCCTCCGAACTGCCCTCGAAATTGATCCTGTTGGTCTTCATGTTGATGACGGCTCCCAGGAAGTCCAGAAACCCGGCTGGAATCAGCGGAGGACAAGCATGAGGAAGCTCCAGAAACTCAAGAACCCCGCACCTGCAGAACGACAGTGGAATCGAGGCTCTCGCAATCGGCTTGATGCTACCACTAACTCCGTTCGCGTAAGGCAGGTCATCATCGTAGCTGACATGTATGGTATAGCCCTTCTCCTGGAAGGCCCGCACCATGTGCTCGAGGCTGGGCTTGCCGATGAGCGCCCGGGCAGCCGCTGTGTCGGCAAGCCCGTGATCTGCCATCTCGCGAAGGGTGACCCCCACGAACATGTCTGGCTTGACCCGGCTCATAGCGTCACTCAGCTGCTCCAGGAAGTCGGCGTACGAGGCTGACGAGGAATCGAAGGCGTCGAAGGACAAGAAATACGCTTCTGAACTGGCTAGGGTCGGCTTTCCGGAGCCGGACCCCGACTTCTCACTCTTGATCCTGTCGGCCTTGGAGCGGTAAGGTTTACGACAGTCCTCCCTCCAGTGCCCCTTCTCCTCGCCGCAGTTGGTGCAACGTGTGCGCTTCTTCAAGTCATCCTTGCTGATACGCCGGTGACCTGGAGTAGTACCACCTCTCTTGCGGTCGAAGAAGTCTCTGTCTACCTTGCGCGCCGCCTTCAACATCTTCGCCTCCTTCCAGGTCTTGCGGCGCCTGGGCTCTGTGATCTCGGCGAACACCTGGTAAGCCTCGTCGTCGTAGTAGTCTTCCGTCTCGATGGTCGTGAGAAGCGTGGCGGCTTTTTCTTCTTATTCTTATTATTCTTCTGTTTTTTTTTTTGTTTGTTCTTCTTCTTCTTCTGAAAACGCCACGTCGTACAGACTCATCTGAAACTCGTCCTCGCACGCCTCGCTCTCGGTCCCACCTGGCACGGCGGCAAAACTCTTGCTCGAAGTAGGTTGGCTTCGGGGAAGCACCGGCTTGTCCACTATGTCCAGCTGCAGCAGCGAGCGACGAACGGATGCGCTGGACTGATCCCCAGCCATCAGAGTGCGTAAATTGACCTTCATCTGCCCTGACAACTGAGATCTCTTCTCATAGAATCTGGCCGTGACGTTGTCTGGAAGGGATAACCCAAACAGCTCAGCCTGTGCCATCTGCGCATCACGACGTACCACGTACTCCGTGAGAGTCTCGCCCTTTCTGATGCCGTACTCGAAGAGCGCAGCTGATTGAGCCTCCCTCTCGCGGTCTCCTGGTCGTTCTCCACTCAGCAACTGGAGATGCTCGATCAGCTTCTTCACTCCCTGATCTGAGTCTAGCGTTGCACGAATGCCCTCGAACTTATTGTGTAGCTCCACTGGATACCCTTGGAGAATCTTAGACGCCTGGGCGTCTGGCTGAAAGCCAGTGCGCTGGGTCCAGGCTTCGATGTTGGCGACGTATACCTCGAGGTGTTCCAAGCCGAGGAACTGAGGAGGCTGGCCGTAGTCTCTACTTCTCTCTGGTGGGGGCTTGACGTCGGCTCGCCACCATTCCAAGCCCTCGTCCTGCCATCGATCGAGACCATCATTCTGCCACTGATCTGACCTCCCTGACCACCACCTCGATGTACTCCACCAATCTGGTGAAGCTCCCCCTCCTGAGTCGTGGTCCCAGTCCCCGACGTACCACTCCTGCTCCTCCCAGTGCTCGCACTGCGTCTGAGCCTCCGTGGTTCCTCCACCTCGTACCTCCTCCACTGGCGGTTCACCTCCTGTGTCGTCGTCATCGCCCCTGGCCATCACGAAACTGTGACACCAGCCGTCGGCGTCCTCGTACCTGTCTGATGCCTGCCCTCCACATTCGACAACCACGCTCCGGCTACCATTGAAAGTGGCTCGAACGAAGAAGGAGGACATCAGTTTATCAGAGAGGGGCACCATCGACTACATGTCACGGTCCTTGCCTGGCCCAGGCAGGGCGCATAAAGCCTAAAGGCTACAGGAAACCCAAAGAGAAAGGAGGAGAAGAGGAAAGAGACATCACTAGGATAAGCGAGATCTTCCTGAGGCATAGACCTTGGTCCTGGCGCATGGCGGGAAGCGCCTTCCAGACGTGCGCCGATGCACGAAGGCATTTGATGTGGATGCACAGCGCCAAAATGCACGGGGCAGCACGTGGTGGGAGTATAGCCGAGATAAGTGCAGCTTCACGCCAACGCGCTCCTAGGCCCTGCAGGCAGCCGTAGCGAACATCGCAGGACAGCACGTTCAGCTTCAGGAGTACGCTCGACAATCAGGCCTGCACAGCTGGATGACTCACTGCTGGTCAACAGCAGCTAGCCTCCACCGCTGCAGGTTCAATGCGCCTGCTCATCTAGTCCCTCTTGCCATCGCGCTATCAGTAGTCGCGAGGGCTTGCAACAACTTCGCCGCGGGAAGAAGGGGTAACGAGCTTGGAGAGCTGGCAAAATCTTTCCCCATCAATAGCGAATATCTGTTGTAACCCGTAGTATTTGTCCAATGCTTTTTCGGCCATGAAGGGGCGTCATGTCTGGCAAGGCGCCGTGCAGATCTCGAAAGCCCCGCAGGAAGACCCCCGCAGCGCAGAACGCTCATATGACCCCATATGACCCCAAGAGGACCCCCAGACAGCCTGAGAAGGCTCCCAGAGCTTCCCCATGGGGCACCAAGAGATCCGCATAGGGCTTCAGAGGCGTCTAGTACGGCTCCAGACACGCCTAAGGTGGCACGCGCAGGGCCCCAAGAGGCTTCCAAGACGCCAAGACGGCCCAATACCTCCCAAGACGGCCCAGGAGGCCCCAATGATGATTTTTGGAGCCTTATGTGTACCCACTCCTATCACAGTACCCCTCAGCTGCCTTCCCGTCGCACCTCCCGCAGGTCAAGCTTGGCCAGATGTATTACCTTGGTCAAGGGGTTGATGTGGACAAAGCCAGATCTTGCTACTGGTACATGCAGGCGGCTCAGCAGGGCGTTGCAGAGGCGATGTATCAGGCAAGTGGAATGCTGATCAACGGCGATGGCGTGGAGAAGGATGAGAGATACGGCGTGCGCCTTCTTCTAGGTTCGTGGGTGTACTAAAGTCATCGGTTTGTCTGCAGGGACGTCAGCTTTCTGGCTCACCTCTGTTGACATATTGCCTTGTCCTCGCTATCGAAGAGTCCTCGCTATCGAAGACGCTTCCGACGGTCACTGCCGCCCTCTGTGGCCGAGAAGCCTGGATTGGAGCCTCTCGGCGCCTTTGGGCTGGTCTTGGTGCCGTATTGGCTCTCTTCGCGACCTCCTTCTTGGGCCGTCATCAGGCATTTTTTTGGCTCTGTTCGGACCGTCTTCGGGCCGTCTCGGGGCTCCCTTGGACCGCCATGAGCGTGTCTCCAGAGGCACTTTGGGGCCTCTTAGGGCCGTCTTGGGACCCTCTTGGGGCCATGTGGATCCCTCGTGGGATCTTTTTGTGCCCTCTTTGGACTCTCCCAGGCCCTTTTGGAACCACTTGAGCCGAAACTGTTGGACGTCAAAGAGCACAGGAAAGAATTTGCCATTCCTATTTCGGGTGTTCGATGGTTTTGGCTCTCTTTGGGGTTCCTTGGACGTCTGGGGTTGTCTTGGAGGCCTCGTGGGCCCTTGCCCTTTTTCTGGGCCGTCTGGAGCCTCTCTTGGGCCACCTTGGCGTCGTCTCGGTCGCTATTGGCCCACCTTGAGCTGCGTCGGGCACCTCTTAGGCCACTTTGGCGAAGCCGTGGGCCATCTTGGAGGCACTTCAGGACTTCTAGGGGCGAAGCGGGCCCGAAGTGGGCCATCTTGGAGGTACACTCGGCTTAGAGAGTAAAGAGGCTCATGGAGAGGTTTGGAGAGTCAAGCCGACAGGTGACATGGGACCTGGTACGTCCAGCATCCCCCATGGGCACAGGGGTTTGCGGATCTACGTCGCTTGCAGCTCATCGTGGCCGCGCCTTTCGAGCCTAGTAGGGCCAATCACAGTTGGAGCCTGTGGGGCTGATTGCAGGGCTCCAAAACCTGTCAAGCATTCGCGTCAGCGATATCACACAATCCCTCCTTTCGGTTCGTCGGGGAGGGTCGCGAGGATCCGGGCGATCACCGGTTTCTCATGTCACGTGTGGCGGCTCCAGGATGGTGCGCCCTGGACCCAACGAACGGTTCGTCCCAGGAGCGTTTCAGATACATTTCGTGAGTGCTGGCTCGAGGACGGTGCGTCCTGGGGCCAGACATGGGTGCATCCCAGGACCGTCACATGTGCCTCAGAGCGTGCTGGCTCGAGGATGCGCCCCATGCCCAGACGTTCGTGCGTCCATTCTGGCTCCAGGATGGTACGTCCCAGGTCCAGGTGGTGTGTGTGTGCGTGTGTTGGAGCAAGGGTTGTGTGTCACAGAGTCAGAGAGTGATGCGTCCAAGGGCCGTCCCAGGTGCATTCCGAGCCTGCCAAGTTGAAGATGTTGCGTCTCGGGCTAATTTCGCCCCTGTGCTTTGTGGGTCCCGATGCTCACGGACGAAAGGGACACTCCTTTTTGTGAGTCCCGAGGCTCACGGCTGAATGCAGGGGGAAGAGGAGGAGGTGGAGGAGGAGGAGGAGGAGGAGGAGGAGGAGGCTGATGGCGAGGGCTGTGCTTCGCAGCCTTGCGGCTCCGGACAAGGGCCTGCTGGCTTTCCTGCCCTCGCTGTAGGCATTCGCCCATGCTGCGTCCTGATTTCTGCTGGGAAAAATTATGGTCTCCACTGTGTGGACCTCCCGTCTCGTGGAGCCCGATAATTACAGCAGGGGGAGGCGCCTCCTGCGCACAGTGAGCTCTTGTGGTGGAGTCCCCGCTGAGACACACATGTTTCCTTTCAGTGAACCCACAGGTGCGGCGGAGGGAGGCCTCTCCTGCGCGCAGTATAACATCGCCGGGTTCTACTTCTTCGGCTGGCATGGTGTCGACGTCAACCGGGTTGCCGCCATGCGCTGGTTCCACCAGGCGGCCGAGCAGGGCCACGTGAGGTCCGCGGGCTTCCTCGGCTGGCATCTGTGTTTAGGCAGCGTCGGGCCTGCGAACAAGGAGCAGGGCCGTCGGTGGCTGGAATTCGCTGCGTCACACGACGACGTGGACGCGATCAAGAGCCTGGAAATCCTTTTTTGACGGGATGGGCCCTATGCAGCCAGCCTCGCGTGGGGAGCTGTGGCACGAGGCATCCGTGCCGAGGCACCCAAAAGGGGCGCCGCGCTGAGGGACTCCAGCAAGCACGTGGACTCAACCCACCGTTGATTAGTTCTATGCCTCGTGCACGTGCATCAGAACGTGAAGCTTGAGAACGGCTGGTTTTGCTGATCCCGAATCGGCTTTCGTAGCGTATCCTGCGTATGGTGTTGATGCTGTTCATGCTCAATGTTTCTGTTGCTTGCAAGAGTTTCGATTCATGCGTTCAGGAATGACGTCTGGAATTCGCGCAGTGGGTTCCTCTCTCACGGAGGGGGCGGGCTTGACTCCGCAGTGCCCCGCAGTTGGCTTTCTTACCTGGGTGCTTGTTCTCCAGCAACTCCCGCCAGGTGTCTCAAGTTCCACCTTGCACAGATACCCTACACGCAGAAGCGCTCACCTCTGCCGACGCTGGCGCACACGGCATAACGCACACAGACAACGTTGGATACGCCATCACGCAAACAGGACCACGCACACGGCCCCACGCGCACGACACCATAAGCACGGCACCATGCACATGACACTTTTGTGCAACAAACAGAGCCGTGCGCACCAGGCACGTGGCACCATGCACATGGCATGCGGCACACGGTACACGGCAAGCACACCCACCACGCACACGGCGCCACGCACTCAGCACCTTTGCGCACACGGTACGACGAACATGGACGTCGACGATTAGTGGCAGCCAATCGGCGAAACATGGTCCTTGTAGAAAGGCGAGGTACATACACACCGGCATTCGAAAAATCATTCAAGATCGAGGAAATTGCCAATGGGCGTTACGAACTCGTTTTAGGCCTCGGTCAACAAGCCAAATCGACACTTCACTACACAAACAAATCGTAGGAACTTGCGCTGCGCGTAATGTAGTCGAAGCGTGTACATGTTTATTTTGGTATATATGCTGTGCTTGGTTGCGTGTAACTTGTTGTATGAGCACGTTCCATTTCCCAGTGCAGTAACGCATGTTGGACATGTTGATTGGATGCGCGAGTGGCATGGGGATGCGCGCGGCTTGTACAGGCCTACGGCTCACGAGGCTCTCAAGACGCCACAAGCGGTCCCTCAGAGGGCCCGGACAAGGGCTTGAGGAGAAACAGCTCCTACATATTTTTAGCTTATTGAAGGATGTTGGGTTCAGGGGCCCTCTGGGTGGCCTTTGGGCCGTGCGGGGCCCCTGTAAGACTTTCAGAGGCTCGGTGAGGGCCTCCTTGAACGGATCTTGGTGGGCTCTTAAAGGGGTTTCTTAAGATCCCTTCAGGAGCGAAAGGGGTTCAGTAAGGACTCTTGAGAGGCTTGTTGAGGGTTTTTGAAGGGCTCCTAAAGGGTCCTTATGAGGCTCCAGGGCCCTTGCGAAGATCCGTAATGGCTCACAAGTGGTCCTGAAAGCCCTAAACATGGGTTCCTTCAGAGCCTTCACGGGAACATGGACACATGGTGGTCCCAGGGGCGCCCTGAGGCATGAGAATGTTGTTGTGGATTTTTATATGATTTGCTGTCGGTACTTGCAAATGCCATTGGAATTCGTGTCCGATTTTTTCTGGCACCTTGTACTTCTTTTTGTTTTCCACATTTCGGAACATTTTGTAGATTTTCTGGTACCTTGTTGTTGTTGTTTTTGTATTCCGGATTTCGTCTTGGATTCCATAGGAAGATCTAGGAATTTGTTTGTTTTGTTGTTGTTGTTGTTGATTTTGTTCGTTGAAATCAGGTCCGCATTTTTTGTAAGTTGCCGGAGGAAGTTGCGGTGGGCGCTAGAGCTGTCTGGAGCTGCCCTGAGCTACCCGGAGGTGTCCTCAACCCTCGAGGGTTGAGGAGTGCTTGGAGTGTCGTAGAGTCTTGAGGGCTTGGGAGCTTCATGGTCACGTGCTCGTAATGCCTGGGAATTCGCGAGGCTCGTTTGGAAACGTGGGGGGGGGGCTTTGGATTCAGGGGGCCCAGCTTCTGAGGGCTTGCGCCTACATCCGTCGCCTTTTCCTGCGTTCCCCCAGCGACGCAAAAAAAGCGACACTGGCAACGAAAAGGTCTTACCCAGGTAGTCAGGTAGGAATCGACCGACGATCGCAAAGAGCCAGGGTCTGACGGAGCAGGCGACGATAAAGGAAGCCAGCCTAACGACGACGCCGCCCCCCGTAGCGATGCTCTGGGGAAGGGGCCGCGGTCGATTTCATGTGTGTTTAAAGTATGCTTAGTATGTATTGTTTGTTTGGCTTGCTTGTGGTTCGCAGGGCACCGCCGCCCAGATCTTTGGATCATCGGATGCCAGATTGGATTTTGCGTCGGATGCCAGATTGGATGCTGACGATTCGTATAAAATAAATATTACGGTGGATTTGATTGGGATTGTTCGCTTACTTTGATTTTGTTTTTCAACAGTCGAGTCGTATGTGGATTATTGTCCTGGTCGGGGCGTTGAGTTTGAATATGTTTAGATTTGTATATGTGGTTTTGATTGTGCTTCGGATTTGTGTTGTAGTAGGTGTTTTTCTCTTTGGACCCTACGGACCATGTTTGGCTATAACCGCCGACCCTAACTCTACGATAAGTTGCAATTTGACTTATCGATGTGTGGGTGGCAAGTTCCGCCATACGGCCAGCTCAGCGTTCCGTGGGGCATCCCTTCGAGCTTTCCCCTGAGGGCCGCTGAAGGTGACAGATACTGTCCTCAGCCTCCGGGTGGTCATAGCATGTGACGCACTCGTCCACAGGCTCTGATATTTTGACAGCTGTGTTCATCTTTGCTCAGAGGGCCATGACGCATGCCATTTGTCACTCCCAGACTCCAGAGTTTCGCAAGATGCAACATCTCCCTTCCCTTTTCTAAAAAGAAGGCTGTATCATTTGACACTTGATTTCCTAAGGAACGGTAGCATGTCACGCAGGGCATCAGGGATTAGGTGCCTTGCTGGATCTTACTGGACGAATTTTTGTGAGCTTCTTTTGGCCTGAACGGATCGCGCTGGGGGTCTTCGGGCAGGGGTGTCCTTCACCTCAACCAAACAGCAACCAGTCAGCATTCGGCACCACTCCACTCCACTAGGCGCCGAAAGGCACAGTGGCTGACAAAGAACTGTGCAGTACCCGTTGCTGAGGGACGACCATCTTCACGTCTCGATCGCAGTTCTGCGCTACCTCTCGCCCTGTCGCCTGATGGCGCCGCACCGCTCCCTGGCCCGGGGAGGAGCACGTACGTCGCAGCCGCTGGTACCTTTGCGTGGGTGGCGCTGATGCGAGTCTGCAAGCTGCGGGTGACCCGCCTGACACTTGAGAGGAGGAGGGGGGCAGCGTGTCGGGCGAGCCTTCAGGGACGGGGTGATAACAGGTGATGCCACCCCGCCCACCGCAGGGCTGCACACGCGGTGGGACAGCCCTGCCCCACGCCGAGCCGGTGTTGGGGTAGACAGGGCACCAGCCGGACGAACGCGCCGCACTGCAGAGAGCCTCTTTGTATGCTGATTGGACCTCCTCGATGTCTTCTGACCGGTCCCTCTTACCACCGTGCCTCGATCGATTTTGCAGGGGCTTTCCGCCAGTGCGCTCTTTGTTTGGTTCTGCAATGGATCCCTCTTCAGTGCCAGAACTTGGTGGTGGAAGAACGCGGGCGGAACACGGGTGCACGTCGTAGAGACAGCATCACAGAAAGCAGGGTCAAGTCAGGAACGTTGACAGGCACGGAGATCGCACGAAAGGTCACGATATGTTTGTCGTCATGTTGCCAGCTCGCTCGAAGAGGTGGAGGAGGAGGAGGAGGAGGAAATGTGATAACATGGCCATGCGACTGGGTGAGGAGCATTGCCACGCGTATGGCCGCTAACAGTTGGCTCAAGCATTTGGCCCGCGGAGTTGGCGCATTTTCGCCTGCGGCTGGCAGCATCACATCGATCCCGTGCACTTCCACCTGGCATTTGCATGGCAGTGCAGCGAATTAATGGCAGCCGCGGCAGCAGCGGCAGCAGCTCCCGCTCGTCCAGGAGACCCGCTCCTGGAATTCAACACGCCTCAGGACCGAGACCAATGGTCTAGTCTAAACCCATGAGGTTCAGTGAGCTTTGTGAGGCTTCGGGTACTTCGGAGGCGACTACATGACATGTGAATGTGGAATTGAGGGCGAATCATGAGGGGATGAAAAAGTTCATCAAAACACAAACTGCGGACGGAATTAAGACCCTCACCAAGGAGGAGGCGTACGGGCTGTTCTGTCACTGATGGCCCTGCAGATTATCTCCTTGATTTCCAACGTCGTGAGCCGCAACATGTACGCAGAAGGATGTGTTACGCCGCTGCAGTTAAGAGTCGAGAGCTTCGAGGACCAAGCGAACGTGCAGAAGAACACGATGGAACATGGCAGTCATATATTTGAAACAGTGGCTGAAGGGGCGGTACGTCACAAGGACACCGGAAGCCAGTTAGCGAATTAAGAACTGCACCGCAGCTCACATTTTTCGCTGGTGACCGAGTCGAAAATTGTGTGTGTGTGTGTGTGTAATGAAACGCTGCTGGATTCACTGGCACAAGTGAGGCCGCAGCACCGGAAGGCGTTAGCTAAGCCAGGTGGCACGTTGGACACCATGGAGGACTGCACGCTACACGATGAGGATGATGACGACATGCGTAAAATCCTGAATGGCTGGTTAAGCGCCGCGGTATATGCGAAAACTAACACAGTGAAGCAGCATGAAGATGATGGAGCACAGGGCGTTTTAGCTCATATGTGATATGGTGCACGAGTTTGATGAGCACATGTGGTGTATCTTGGAAGACTGACTGGAGGGGGGGCACCCCGTGGGAAGTTGAAGAGTGTTCGATAAAAAGACTGGCGATCAGCAGAGTAACCAAACCATGCATCTATACTTAGATACCAATGGGATTCTGCGGTGGCTACAATGACTCTGTCAACCAAGATGAGCCTACCTATGAACCGGGAAAGAGCCAAGAAC